GGAGGATGTGGAAGCTGGCATTCCCTCTCCCAGGGTGTTAGTGCCAGGGAATGCCATCCTGTGTGCTCCTTCCCTCGCCCGGTGTGAAATGAGCCTTTCACCGTGCTGTTGAGTGTGCGTCCCCGCACATGACTGTGCTCTGGAGCTCTTCAGCGGTGGGAATGGACCCAGACAGTTCTGCTTCCAGTTGCCATTAGAGCTCCAGCCCTGAGGTTTTGGTTCAGGTTTTGTTCAGAAAAGAATTTCAAGCATTTCTGTAAATTTTGGAAGTCTTGTCTCAATTTCAGTTCTGGCACTGCATCCTCCTGGGCTTAGGTTGGCTTCCACTGCGATCACTGAATAATTGGAGTGGAGATGGTGAGCTACATTTAAAGCTAACTGGCAGACAGAGGGTTTTTCCAGTGGTATGCTGATCCTGTGTTTTATTTCTAGTCCTTTCCATGAGAAATGGGTTGTATTTGAATTTCAGAAAGCTATATAGGAATGCGTCTTTTAAATTACACACAGTACATCAGGCAAAATCCCTGAATCTGGAAGACTACTTTCTGTCCTTTAATGTCGTCTTCTCTTGCATGGCCTCAGCATTGCTGTACTCAGGAATGTTTGGGGCTGTATTTGATCCTGTAAATTCCGATTTAAACAGTAGAGAACTATAGAATTGCATAATGATTTGGATTGGGAGGGACCTTAAAGATCATTTTGTTCTGACTTCCTGCCACAGGCAGAGACACCTTCCAGGTTGCTCCAAGCCCCATCCAGCCTGGCCTTGGACACTTCCAGGGATGAGGCAGCCACAGTTTTACACTGTGGCTTCCTCAGCTGAGAGTTTTAATGACTTGGAGGTAAAACCAGCACTGGGATTGTCTCAGATGTGCTGTCCTACTTCTGAGCCCCTACCGAGTGTCGCTTTGCATTGCTGTTGTGTATTTTGAGTTGGCCCAGGGCTGGCTGCTGTCAGCAGCTGATCTTTTCGCCTGAGAAGTCACTTAGGGCAAACTAAAGCACCTGGGGGTTTATTTTTGTTAAATATCAGCACAGACTGCAGTACAGGCACAGGGAGTTACCACATTTAATTACCTGCATTCATGCACGATGTGCTGCAGTGCCTGGGGGCTGTCAGGAGGAACTGGTTCTGTGTCACTGGTAGCACAGTCAGCCTGAAGGTGCTGATGCTCGAGGCTGTGCTGCATCTTCGCTTCTCAGCCTCCCACACAGCATCTCCATCGCTGCTCAGTGCCACTTCTGGAAGAAATCTGGAATCTGACCTATGACAGAATGGTGCCAGGCCCTGCTGCCTGCAGAAAGCACCTGCAGCTCTGCAGAGGCTGCAAAAACACCACATGAACCATTTCTTGAGCTGTCTGTATCGCTGGGACCAGTGACAGCAAAGTAAAGCAATGAGGGCACCAGAGACAGACACGTGTCCCACATCAGCCTCTGTCCTTAGCAGTCCATTGCTTTTACTCATCCAGCTTGCAGTGTCCAGGTACAGCACAGTCTCATCCCTCCTCAGGTGCTGAGTTGTGAGGGGAATTTTCAAGAAATCCATTGCCCTTTTCTGTCTTGTCTTTCTCTGTGGGCATTTCTGCCACCTAAAGGCAGCCAAAAAGAGCAAGCAGCGGTTCTTGAGTGATCCAGGTTGTTGAGAGGCTCCAGAACTGCTCCTTTGGTTCCGGAAGCCATCAGCCAACGATGAAGGCAGAAAATGGTGATGTCAAAACCCCTGCTGGGCTTGTCTGGTGGTCTCAGACCATGCTGTCTTATAAAGCCTTACTTTGCTGAGCGAGCAGAGCAGCTCTGTGTCATCCCAGCGTGCTTATCTGCGGGACAGAAGCGGCATCTCCCGGAACGTGGCACAGTGTCCTTACGGAAACGCTGTCCCCTCCATCCCTACAGCAGCAGGGAAGTGTTTTTTCCCCAGTACTTTTCCCGCAGAGCGGGATGTCTGCCATCCAGCAATCTGGTTGTGTCACAGCTTGGGAATTCCAGCCAGAAAGTGCCGGCACAGGAGTGCTCTGGAGGTGTCACCTTAGATCCAGTCCTCTTGCTGAGACTGTGTTTTTGAAATCTTCTCAAATGGATGTGGAGGCATTTGGAAGTCTCCTGCGGACAGCCTGTGTTTTTCACAGGATCTTGTGCCTAAAAAGATAATATTTTTCTAAATGCAGGTGATAAAAAAGGAAAAAAGTTTAGGATTTTGGAACTCCAGCTGTTGTACGGTGCAAAGACAACTCCTGGGAGAGCCAGCAGTGTTAATTCTGCAGTTTAATGAGTATTTGAGGGGAAAAAAAAAAAAGCTGGGACAGCTCTCTTCAGAGGCATTCTCTAGCTAATTATGTTTTGGCACACAATGAAAGAATGTGATGTTCCTTCTTAAGTGCTTCCTTTCAACCTAAACATTGTGCAACTGGAGCAGCAGTTTAAAGCCAGATTTTAAAAAAATTGGAGAAAATTTGCAGTTAAGTGCTTTTCCTCTTGCTCTGATCAGCACTGTCAGCTTTGAATTAGCAGAGCAGATCGACTCTGAAATTTTAGCTTAGGAAAGGGAACACCTACAGCTGGAATAGCATTTCCTCGGAGCGTGCAGTCTGTGGAAAAAGGGTAATGTAAGTCAGCGGAGGAGTTCAGATGTCTTCGGGATTCAGTCATGTCCCATTTAATTTTAATTGCCTTTGAACAAAAGGCATTTCCTCTTCTAGCTCAGCATTTACAGGCTCTGGAAAGGGCTTTTGCTGACTCAAATCCTTGACAGTTCTCATTTTCCAGCCTTTGTTCCTACCTTCTTGTGGCTAGCTGGCTGTTCTTATTAGAAAAATAGCCTTTATTTTTTTTTTGCCCCAGCCTGTAGAAATGTGGGAATTTATCTGTGAGATGCACAGAACAGTTTCTCTGTTGTGCAGTAAGCACAGGATTCGATCACCAGACTGTGGTGCACTGAACCTCCTGCTTTAAAAGAAAAGAACACACTACAGGGGATTTCAGCAAGGTAAAGGGTGCGGTGTCAGCCTGGGAATGAATGACAGCCCTGAAGCACCGGGAACGTGAGGAGCAGTGTTTTTACTTTGACCCAGTTAGGATGTACAACCCAGCAGCTCTGTCTCCTGTGCATGGCCCGGTGTCTAATTAATAAAAATTGCTTGAGAGTTTTAATTCGGTCCCTTCTCTAAGGAGACAGACTAGCAATCCTGGTGGAGAATTCCCGGTGTTTTAAATGGGAATTATCCTAAGGATAATGGCCTAATTAGGATACCAGTTTTAGAACCTCATCCTGTGGGTGCGTGGCAAAGTAGGTGAAGTTGGCTGCTGCTGAAACCCACTCTGTGGCTGCTGGCTGTAGGTTGTGGGGTAGCAGTGGGCTTGGATATGACTTGGCATGTTCCTGGGGTATAGTATTTGTATATTAAGATCATTTGTAGTGCAAGAATTGAATTGTCTGTGTTCGTCCTACTTAGTACCATGCATTGTTTTTTGATCAAATTCCTCAGTAACTGGCCTGAAAAAAAATGAAAAGCAGTTCTTTGGAGCCATTAGGAACATTTTCCTCCTGAAGTTACTCATTTAATGTGTGAGTCCTTTGAAACCAGCGGCCTCTGCTAACCAGGAGAGGGGAACTGGCTACTGAGCTTTTGCTCTGTTAATTCTCAGCCCAAGTGTGAGCCTCACTGGGAGCAGGTAAAATTTAGCTCACTTAATTAAGTACATTTATTTGAGGAATTCTCAGTGGCACTTAGTGCTAGCATCAGAGCCACCCAATCTTGGAGATTTTTAAATGGAATTGTCAGTAATATGACTCTAGTATTGCTTTCACCAGCTCTCCCAGGAGGAGAGGAGCTCGGGAATAACTGCTTCTGTGCTAAAAGTGTCTTTAACTCTCACATGCTGGAATCCACTGGCTTAGGCTTAGGCCTCGGTCGTGTTGGGAGCAGCACGTGGCCCCACAGCTTGACCTGGCCCCTCTCCTCTTACAGCCTGGAAATGGGACACCCAGTATCCTGATTGCTCCCACGGCACACAGGCCCCACGGCAGAGATAAACTCCTGTGATAGCTTTGGTTTACAGTGGGGTGACAGGACTTGAAGACGTTGCCTTGGCCAAGGGTCATGCCACTGAGCTTCTCTAGTGTTACCAACAGCGTGGGGTGGCTGGGGTTGGGCCTTTTCTTTTGCACTGAAGTGCAGGATGTAGGTAACATTTGTGTTGGTTTTGATCTCTGTCTGTCAGAGGAAAGGCAAGAGAAGTTGCTGGGTAAGGGGATTTATAGAGGGAGAAGTTTTTGCCTTTACCATTACTGATAAGGATTAATTTATCAGCAGCGTGTGACATCCACTGGATTTTTTCTCTGTTTGTATTTCCTGAGTCATCTGTATGCAAATTGTGGTTGTAACCAAGCCTGGCACTTAATTTTCAGAATCTTAATGGGGGTCCTGACACGGGAGCGAGCAGTTCGGTGCCAGGCGTGCAGTGGAGCTGTGTGGCATTTCTTACAGGGGAATTTGGAAGGGTCACTGCCTCTCCTGGGGCTGTGGAGCAAACTTGAACCCCAGGGAACTCCTTGAAGAAGTATCAGTGAATATTTCAGGGGGTTCACTCTTAAGTTTTATAAAACCAAGTGATAGAAAGAAATCCTTCCCTGTGAGGGTGGGGAGGCCCTGGCCCAGGTTGCCAAAGAAGCTGTGGCTGCCCCATCCCTGGAAGTGTCCAAGGCCAGGTTGGACAGGGCTTAGAGCAGCCTGGGCTAGTGGAAGGTGTCCCTGCCCATGGCAGGCGGTGGCACTGAATGGGCTTTAAGGTCTCTTCCAACCCAAACTATTCTGTGATTCCATGGTAAGAGAGGAGCAGTGACATGTGCCTTACATTTTCCCGTGTTGATAGTTCAAATAGGAATCCTAGGTTGGAAATTTTGGAAGGGGAGGTGCGAGGCAGTGGGCTCCTTGAGTCTTCAGGCTCGTTTTGTGCTCTTGTTCTAATTTGAGTTTGGGTTTGGGTGTTTCCCTTGGCAGAATTCCGAAAAAGCAGGCCGAGGCCCTATGGTTTAGTGATTCCCATTAGCACCAATGCAGATGGAAGCTACATCTCCAACATCCTCTCTGCGAGTCACCAAAGGCGAGCGCCGCGGGAGGTGTCCCCGAGCCCCAGACAGCTCTACTTCAACGTCACTGCCTTCGGGAGGGAATTCCACCTGCGGCTGAAGCCCAACACTCGCTTGCTGGCTCCCGAGGCCGTGGTGGAGTGGTACGAAGACTCTGTGCAAACTGGGAGCCATGGTGCTAACACGAGCAGGACTGGCGCTGCTACAGAGCGATTATGGAAGAGGGAGCCCCTGTGGACCAACTGCGCCTACGTGGGGGACATCACGGACATCCCCGGAGCTGCGGTGGCCATCAGCAACTGTGACGGGCTGGTAAGGCTGGTTTCGTGGCTCCTGTGTCTGGTGTTCACTGCTTGGTGCGCAGCTTCTGTTGCTTTTAACTACACCTGGCTAATGATGTCGTTTACAGACCTTAAATCCCTTAGAAAACACTGATGGGGACAATCCTACTACTTTACTTTGGGATAATTCCTCTAAGGCTGATGAGCAAAGCCCTTCATGTCACTGGTGTGAGAGAGAGAAAATCTGTGTCTTGTTGGGTGTCCTTTTTACTTGATGAGGTGTTAGAAACCGGAAAATTAATAAGACATTTTTAAAGGTAAAAAGCAACCTTTTGATGACTGAATTTAGAATCTGGCATCCAAATCATCCCTCTGTAGCATTCTCAGGTAGCAAAATCACAGGTTGCCCTATAGTCTGAAAATAGCTTTAAGTTTTGAAGGGTTTATTTATAAAGTGACACGCTTTTTGTTCTCTTAGATGCAGTTTTGTTCCATCAGGAGGTGTCACATGAGAACTGAGTGGTTCTCATCTGTTAGGGGTTCGTTCTCAGTCTGGTTGCAAACACGTGGGATTTCGTTGTGGCTCAGCAGATGCCCAAAGCCCAGAGGCAAAGGCTGGGCATATATGGCTCCCACACACCATTCCTGGATTCGGTCACACGGTAAAGAAAGCCAGCAGTATTCACCTTACGCTCCGTGAGGCGAGGGGGCAGCAGTGGAACACGCCAGCAACATCCAGGGAGATGAATGTCCTGGTCGGGACTGCAATCCCATGGAAAGGTCTGTACCGAGCACCCCTTCTTGGCAGTGGGATTCCCTCTTCCCCTCACGTGCCACGTGGTCATGATTTGATTCCGGTTTGCGATGAGTTCTGGCTAGGAAGGCTCCCACCTTGGCAACGGGCTGCAGTCACTGTGGGAGTAATGCAGAAATGGCTCCAAATGCCCGTTCACACTGCCATTCCTTGACTTCCCTGGCTTAAAGCAAGGAAATACTGGTGGTGGTTTGACCAGAGGTGACAAACTATGTCAGTTTGGTGTGTTTTGGAGGGCTTTTGGTGGAGTTTTTTAGGAGAACCTGTTGGCAGTGTGCTATGTTTACGAAGACCAAGCAGACATCTGCCTGGCTAGATGTAGCTTCTGATAGAATCCTTCCAGTGAATGAGACTTTGGGACTGGGAGCTGGATTTTAGTAGTAATCCTGAATGAAGTTGTTGTGTGGAGACAGCACGTGAAGACAAGAAATTGGATTAAATGGAATTAGCCTGAGGAGTGCAGCAGCTCCGGCAGAGATTGCCATGTGGCTGGCAAGCTGCTCCTGCTGTGTTTTCAGTTCAGAGAAGCCAGAAGAGACTTTTTGGTGGGGGAAAGGCTTCCCACTGACAGAGAGCAGTATTAGGTGGGATACTGGGAGGAAATTCTTGGCTGAGGGTGGGGAGGCCCTGGCACATGTTACCCAGAGCAGCTGTGGCCGCTCCATCCCTGGGAGCGTTCAGGGCCAGATTGGACAGGACTTGGAGCCACCTGGGATAGTGGAAGGTGTCTGTTTTTTCTTGTAGCACCCAGGAGAAGCACTTCATGAACTTCCCATGGTTTTAGGGACTGGAATAGGAGAATATGGACTTTTTCTTTGAGGAGAGGGGTGGATAAATGCTCCTGGGTCACTCTTGTCTCTGCTCATCACCTTAGGTGTTGTAACATCTCTTGGAGTGTGACATAAATAATCCTGAAGATTTATGTAATGTTTTTTTGCTCCTGGCATCTCCAAAGGTAGCAAAAGGAACTTGCAGTTACCGTTGCTGGCCTCTCTGTTGCTGTACTGTGTGTCTCTCACCCAGCTAGAATATTTGATCCTCAGTGTTTCCCGAAGATGTGAAGGGTGAGATAATGTGGCTTAACAGAAACTGGAACAAGAGTGAGAAATTCTAAGGCCATGTGTATGTCTGTTGGAGAGATTTATTTTTGACTTCAAAGGAATTTAGACACTCTCCAGAGTAGCCAGCTGGGTTCTGAGCTCTTGGGAGAAAGTGAAGGGAATCACTGGAGTAGCAATTTGCACAATGTGTAGCTTATAAAAGAAGCTTGATATCATAAGTAACAGAAAAAGAGCACTTGGGTGCTGAATTTTGATTGCTTGATTGCCGATACATGGAATAATTGGCATTTGCATTAGTAAAGTAAGATTCTGCCCACAGTCTTTTCTTCAGTCTCAACTTACATTTAAAACCCCAAATATTTGGACACTTTGTTTTGAAATAGTTTGCATATCTACTTCTGCAGTGGAAGTTGTCTGTGTGCCATCACTCTTGCAAATTCCTATCTTCACATCTGCTTAATCTCCCTTGGAAAATAATCCTGTTTATTTAAAAAGCCCACATGCATGTGCCTGCACTTGTCATGGCAGAAGAACACTTCATTAGTCAGGGAGGAGCTGCCTCATCTTCTTCACTGGCTGTTGGGAAGCTGGGGCTTCCACAGGTTTCTGTGGATATTTCTGCTGGTTTTTTTTGCCAAAGTAGTGATATTTATTGTCAGAATCCTTGGGGAGTGGAAGGTGCCTGCCTCAAAAAACCACCGCAAACGGTTCACATTGTAAATGAAGACAAGGCAGCAAGCCTAGCATTGACAAAGAATGGTTTAAACCACTTTTCTGCCTGTTGTTGTAGAGAAAACGAGCTCAGTTTCTCAGTTAGCTTCCTGAGCAGGTGTTGGTGTGTGGTGCCTTCAGCTTGTACTTGCACTCTGATGTTTTTGTAGACATGTGCCTCTGTGCTTGAGCTGGGATCTGGTTTGTGTTCACATCCATGCAATGCCAAGTGGGAATGCTGCTTTCTGTTTCTCCTAGGGCATTAACCTTGCTCGTTTGAAATCAAAGGGCCAGGCCCAGTGCGATGAACCTTTAATCTTTGACTTAAGATTCCGAGCAAAATGAGGCTTTTGTTTGTTTGTTTGTTTATTGGAAACTATTTGGGTTTGTTTTTTGTTTCTTGGGGTTCCGTGGCCTTCAGGCCCGGTGCTGCGTGTTCTCATTTGGCAGTCCAGCTGTTTGCAAATGGAAGATGCTGGGGAGTCTGCCTGGCTTGGAGTGTTCAGCTGCCAAACCAGGGAAATCCTGGAACACAGACCAACCATCAGGAATTAAAAAAACCAAACAAATCTGCTCAGATCTGTCACTTGTGACGGATTATTCCTCACTTGCTTATTGCCATCCCTTTTTTTCTGAGGATATGGAGATGTGAAGAAACACGTCTGTGCGTGTTCACAGCTGCTTTCCTTTGGCAAATACAGGCTGGAGCGTCTCAGACTAGAGATGCTTGCACAGCCTTTAGCCTTGGTTCAGGAAAAGCTTTACAAATCTGCTGGAGTTGAGGCGTGTGGGATCCAAGGAGTTTCAGGGCATTTTGATTTGTTTCAAATGCTCTTTTATTGCCCTTGTTCCATCAGGACTGAAGTGTTAAGGCTTATTTCTTGTTCCTGTGTTGGTTCTAAACGTATTATTTTGGCATGATTACCCCCGAGCTGGCAAGACTAGAGTTCCTAAATGGGGAAACAGCTTTCTAGGAGCCACTGGTGTTTTCTCCCAGTGTCCTGGAATAGCATTCTGGAGACAAACACTCGGACTGCTGCTGAGCATCTGGTTGTAGCACACAGGAGAATCTTGCTGAGCTTTGGGTTGGGGTTGGGACCGTCCTCTTGGGTCTGGAGGCCTCTCCCAGTCCAGGCCGTGGTCAGTGGCCAAAGGGACATCTGGTAATCCTGGACCTCCTGGGAGGGCAAAGCACAGGAGAGCAGGATAAAGCCTGGGGAGATGGAGGCGGCTCGGTGCCACTCTGGGCAGATGGCAGCAGCATCTTAGGCTGATTCACCTCTCTGATATCCCTGCTCCCCTGCCCTACTGCGCTCTTCCCACAGTAAGTGCCTCCCTGTGCCCTGCCGTGCCTGCTCTCACCGCTGGTGTTTGGCTGCACTTGGCAGGGCTTCGGAAGCGGGATTGATGGGCTGCAGCTGCGCTCCATCCCTGTCACCTCTGCTCTGTGGCACTTCCCACGGGCTCAGACAGACTCCTCAGTCCTGGCAATCCATAGGAAAGAGGATTTCTGTAAGGGTAGGAGTTCCAGAAACTTGGGAAAATGTCATTCAGGACTTGGGGATTCCTGTGTAAACACAGAGGGGAGAAGCACTGATCGAGAAGGGAGGCTATGGGGATTACAGTCAAGTATCAATATAGTGTAAAATAATATAATGCAGAATTTTTTTATATGTTTGCTTTACTTGTCCTTGGAGTCACTCAAAGCAAATGGGCGCTTAATCCTTACTTCTTGGAGTGCAGTGCAGATTGATGCAGATGGTTGCTCAAGCTCCATTTATCTCTTCTTGTTTGTTTTTGTAAGCTTTTCTAGCAGGATCAGATTTGGTCTAATGATAGACTTGCCTCATTTCCAAGCCCTTGTGTCTCCTCCTCTCCTCCTGCCTTGCATTTCTCCCGTTCTCATTTACAACTTAGAGTAGCAAGTAGTAAAAAGGGTGATGCTCAGAGTTTCCATGTGGTTGTATCCTTTTTGTTTTGAAGGCTGATCCAACTGCTAAGTCCTCCTCTGAAATGGTCATTTTTCTACAGGCTGCCAGTCCCTCTCCCTTTATTCCAAATGGATCATGCTCATAGGAAAAACTGGATAGATACACAAGTAGCTTATCTACTGCTGTCGACTTCATGTAGGCCAAAGTGGCTTAAAATACATCTCACAGCATGAAAATTTGCAGTCAGTTTGGGTAATAGGTTTTCCAAGAACATGGACAAATTTAAGAATTCTCTTTTCCCCCCTCCATTTGCCTTCCCCAAGTGTGATTTCTCTGGGGCTGAAGGGAAGAGCCAGAAGGGGCCTGGGAGCAGAGTCCATTGAGGGATTCGAAATGTACCTTTGAAGTCATCCAGCTTTCCCCCTCATCGCTTTGACTGCGGTAATTCCTTGCTTAAAAGCAGGACTCGTGGTTCGCAGCAGGCTGCTGGAGCCTGAGTGGAGCCTGCCGGGCC